AAGTGGAGTCCTTCCCACGGGCTTCAGTTCTTCACGAACTGCTCCCCCATGGGATCACAAGTCCTGCCAGCAAACCTGCTCCAGCGTGGGCCCTTCTCTCTCCACAGGTCCTGCCAGGAGCCTGCTCCAGCGCAGGCTTCTCACGGGGTCACAGCCTCCTTTGGGCATCCACCTGCTCTAGTGTGGGGCCTTCCATAGGGTGTAACCTCCATGGGCTGCAGGGGGACAGCCTGCCACACCATGATCTTCACCATGGGCTGCAGGGGAATCTCTGCTCTGGCACCTGGAGCACCTCCTTCACTAACCTTGGTGTCTGCAGAGTTGTTTCTCTCACTTATTCTCACTCCTCTCTCTGGCTGCAGTTGCTCTTGCACAGCACCTTTTCCCCTTTCTTAAACATGTTATCACAGAGGCGCTACCACTGTCATTGATGGGCTCAGCCTTGGCCAGCGATGGGTCCATTTTGGAGCCAGCTGGCAGTGGTTCTATTGGACACAGGGGAAGCTGCCAGCAGCTTCTCACAGAAGCCATCCCTGTAACCCCCCCCACTACCAAAACCTTGCCACACAAACCCAGTGCGTTAGTTCCTTGGTATGGCATCAGATTTGAGATTAAGCTGAGTTAATGTGCTAAGGGATTGATTGAAGAATTTTAAGGATTAGAGGAGAAGTATTTAAATAAAAAAAAATGGGCTTGAAGCAAGTGCTCCGTGACAACATAAGCAGTTCAGATAGAGCATAAGCCTGGTTTATGTGATGTTTGTTCACAGCTTTACCATGGCCTTAAACCTGCAGTTTGGGATATTTTAAAAGATTGTCAGATTTGGAAGGTTTTTGGCACTTGAACTTCTGTCTTAGGGCAATCTTAGGAAATCTGACTATTTAAGCCTTTCCTGTTACTTTTTTATGGCAAGTATGAACTATTTGGAATATCATCTGTCAAATATGCTTCTTTCTTAGTTTTTTGAAAACACTGAAGGAAAGAGGAGTTTTTTATCACTGCTGACTGTGCAATATGTATTGGAGAAATGGAATTGGGGCTGATACAGTCTATTAACAGAAATAAAAATAAATTAATGGTCAAGCAGAATTTCATGGTGGGCTTGATTGCAGCCATGAATGAAATTTTGTGTTTTGCTAGGGAGATTCTCTTCTTCCTTAAGGTTTTGTGAAAAGCTAAAAAATGAAGTGCTGGAGCATGAATTCTTCAAAAGCAATACCAGACATGTCTGAATACATATCCTTGAGAATGGAAAATTTGAAAGGTTAAATGTTTCTAAGTCTTTAAATGTAAAATTTCAGAATGATCAAATGTCTGTGTTTGAAGCTGTTGAACGCATAAGGATGCCAGATTCATAAGACTACAACATCTGTTATTCATATAACTTCTGTGTATGGATTCTGTAGGATGATTAACTGATTCTTCAAAAAAATTGGTATGATAGGCCAATATTCACATCAAAAATATGTTCAGCTGCTCTGTACAAATATGTAATGAGGAGGAAAAATCCCCACATAAAACTCGTCTCCAAAACTAGTTCTTGTGAAAGCCAGAACAAATGACATTGAATATAAATTTTAGGCAAACCTTTCAATATCAAGGCCACCTGACTTTCACAGTATACTTCTCTGGCTGCACATAGGTTAGTGGTGGCTATTTTGGTTTGTTTTGTTTTTTAATTTTACATACTCTGAGTAAACCAGCTTTTCATGCATACGTGCGTAAGCCCAACGTAGCCCATGGGATAGTTCAAAATAGCGTTGCTATTAGAAGAGGTGGAGAGCTGATGTTTTGTCCAAACATGGGATCTTTCTGCGTATCTTTGCACAGTTTGGTATTTAGAGCATTCTTGTAGGAGAAGAAAGGTGTAGGGGTATTTGTATATGGTGTTTGCAATGGCTTAATCTTTGCTAGTGTCACTGCATTAAAAAAGCATGGGGAATGCCCAAACCAGTAGCTGGTCCCCAAAATTGACTGTGTAAGTACCACCTTGAATAGCATGACATAATTATTCACATAGCACAAATAAAAGCGCCTGTTTTTAAACATATATCCTGATATATTTCTGATCTCTTTCAGACTATTCAGGATTGTTTGAAGAGGTACCAAGAATAAAATTCAGCCATCAAAATTGTGTAATGGGTCTGGTTACAGTGTGTAATCAGTAACCAGAACATGGTGCTCATAAAGACAAGTCTGCACCCTCACTGGAAAATTTCTAGGTGTTTACAAATCAAAAAAAGTTTGAAAAACATTAGTAGATTATTAGATCTGGATTTCAAATGAAGGATTCAGTGTGGTTAATAAGAAAAAAGAGTTGGTTTGCAGACTGGGAGGTCCACAGGCTTTTCCACTGCCTACTTTCGGATATATGGTAGCTTTAGTGGTAGGCTGGTACCAATCTGCTGATGCAGGGAGTAACACCATTGTGCTCTAAAAGTAAAACGTATGTGAAAATAAACATGCCAAGTATTAAGCATTTTATTGGAATATGACAATAATTATTATGCTACTGGTTCTGTGTCAAGTTCAGGTTGGTGTCTCCAGAACATATCAAAGTGTATCTAAGCTTATTAAAAGACCAAGAAATATCCAAGATAATGAAATAGCCAGCTTGCTGTATTATCTTTTTATAGGATGGGACATGTATTTGCCAGGTCTAGAATAGACCTGAATGGGGCTTGATCCTGAAAACTTACATATGCAAGACATACCATTAAATTCCATGGCAGAACACAGGTAACGCATCAAAGACTTTATGGCCACGTAGGGAACGACTTCTGTTGTAGTTGAATAGCTGATACTAACCAGTGCTATAAGGGAAATGGCCAAAAATGGTTAAAATGGTGTGCTTTAATGTTTTTTGTTTTATACTCAAACTAAATAATTCTGACCTGATTTACTAAGATTAGTTTATACAATCATTTTGACTCTGATGATTACATAAGAGTAGCTCCCATGAGAGAGTATTTGGATGCAAGGGAAATATATATTGCTTATGGTATAGCCAATTTATAGTCTTTATTAGAAATTAATGACTGTGACAAATTTTGGACAGCAAGTGATATTTCAGTTCACTTCTTAACTTTTAATGTGAGGTAAGTTCTGATAAATTGGGCTCATAGCTGAAGTCATTGGAATTTACTCTGACTTCTCTCACGTACATGAACAGTCACTTTTTTCCTCAAAGTTCACTGATGGTGCTGCATTTTGTGCTCGTTTACATGTACAGGGGTTTCCCTTCCCCATTCTCTAGGCAGAAAAACGATTCTAAATTACACTTTTTCAAATGGGGAGTTAGTGTACCGCTTTCTAATATTTCAGATTTATCTCTTCCCCTCTGCAAATTATGGTTAGTGTTAGTTTTTTATTATGAGCCTTTATTGTTTTTGCTTTTCATTTCCTTCAGCCCTGTTAGGGAAGAAATTTAGCCTGAGAGATGGAAGGGAAAGAAGTTGATGATTTTAATTAGTAGAGGAGAAACATATAAAAAGCTGGTTAAGGAAATAGCAGAGGAAAGTGGGTTTGTTGGGGTTTTTTTTAATATTTTTGGAGAGGAATGAAATGCTGACCTTGTTTAGTGCAAGAGGATTAAATGCCACATCACTAATGTTCCCCGTGTGATGCTTCTGATTTTAGCAAAACTCACATCGCTAACAGTGGTGAGGGTATAGGTTGGCCTTGGGGAAAGACTTATGAACTCTTATATTTTGGGAAATATCTGAAAATGTCTGTTGCTGTCCCCCCCTGCTTTGTTTGTTTGTTTTTGAGTACATACTTAACTCCATGGGAATTATTTTCTGAATATAAATGAACAGCAGGATTGAAAGTTGGCTTGGGAGACAACTTTCCTTAGTCGCCTATTGGTTTTGTTTTGACTAACTGGACCTCATGTGATGCTGAGGAGTCTAAAAGTGTCTAAGGCTGCAGTTCCCATTTTGAGGATGTTGTCTTCGTCCTCACCTCACCTTCTTCCAGGTTGGTTGTGGGAGGTTCTCTCCTGATTTAGTTGTTGGAGGAGTTGTTATATCATGTAGCTGGTCTTCCCAACTATGCTTGTCCATTAAACTGACACCTCTTATGAGTTCTTGATTGGTCATCTTGCCACAAATAAGGATAAAATTTGTGGATGTTTGTAGTGCATATGAAATTGGAAGAAGGCTGCTGTTTATCACGTGTAGCCTCTGTCTTTTCTCAAACATAGGTTACATTCGCATGACATCTGAAGGCGAAAGGTGGCCTAGAGGCAGGGTGGTGGGTCCTGTAGCTTTTGAAAAGCAGGAGAGACACAATGGAAGAGAAAGACAACAGAAGGTGAGCAGGCTTAGCTGGAAGAAAATAGAATGAGGTAGGTTGGACATGAGACAGTCTAACAGGAGAGGTAGAAATATGGGTAACGAAAAAGAATGAATACTAGGAAATGATAGGGAGGTTATGATAGAATACATCTAAATAGGAAAGAAAGGAAGGGAGATGGAAGAAGGAAAAGTGAGAATGAAACGTAATACTTACAGATTTGTGAATTTAATTGATGCATTTATACTTTTGTTGTTTCTCTGGGCTCTTTATCAGAGATTTTGGAGCAAGAACAGCTCATTGTTTTGAGTACTTTGATACACTGGCATTGCTTTGGGCTCTGTATTTTTATATATATTTTTTTTTAAATATAACCTCCTGTTTAGGACAGAAATGAACTTAAACATAAGCAGACTCAAAAGAGTATCAGTGTGATTTGTTAGAGATTTAACTGTTGGGATTTATTTTTCCTGGTATTAGCAGTGAGGCCAAAATAAAGCTAATTTCTCTGGAAGTTAGTAACTTTAGGGTTCTGATTCTCCTCTTCCTCCTTTTTTTTTTTTGAAAATGGGACAAGTTTGGTGGATAGTAGCCCAGAGAGGAACTTACCCATGACTCTTCCCACTGTCCTGCAGTTCTCCTTTTCTGTGTGCATGGTGTATCCTGCTTGTTGAGTAAGGCAGAGAGGGTTTTCTTGGACTTTTGAAAAGTACTACTTTTCTTAGCTTCTGCTAAATCTAGACTTGGACTAAGGAGTTTTCTTCTCTGTGACAAATTAATGAACTGAATTTCTGAGTCATCACGCATGTTAATTGCTTTGAACTCTGAAGTGTATTGAAATATTAATAAAATGGGGAGATATTTAGGATGCTGGCTATGCTTCAGACATGTGGTCAGCAAAAAAAGTTTTAATTAATCTCAGGGAACAGCTATTTCAAAGCATAAGCATTTTGCAACTTCTCACAAAATTGGTTACAAATCATTGCTTTCATCGAGTAGTACCGACACTTGTGTTTTTGCTAGTTGGGGCTGGTTTTGGTCATTAGGATTAGTTATTGCTGTAATGCTGAGCTGATTCCTGGTGATTTTTGGTAATGAGTGGATTAAGTTTTTGTGTGTTTCACCATAGACAAAAGGATATAATTTTTCAGTGAAAGATTGTGTAACTATGCTCTGTCTTTGAAACTTCAGGCTGCTGTGCCTGAAAATATTTTTCAGACTGGCAAATGTTAAAACTGATACAATAGCTTCAGCAGTGAAAGCAGTTAAAGGGTGAAAATTTGAGGTATGAATAGTTTCCAGCAATTTTAGGAAAATGTTCTTTAGTGTTGAAAATACTACAGTGTGATATAATTGCATAGAATTTTAAATGATGTATACTTTCTTGAAAACCTAAGTTTCCTGTCTTCAGGGTGGTGTGCAACCCTTTCTGTCTGCTGAAAAATGACACTTTATAGTCATCAAGTACCAGCCTTGAGGTGTTTGTTGTCCCTTTTTACCCTTTCATTCCGATTCTGCCTTCCCTTTTGATGGAGGGTGGTGAGAGCAATAGAAAAGCGGATGTACTGCATCTGCTTGAGTTTAAATCTATTCCATTTCCATAGACATTGTCCGGCATTTGAAAAGCAAACAAACAAAACAAAAACCAGATACAGTTAAATATAATCCAGCTTCCTTTCACTCTTTGCTTTTCCAGTATTAGTAAATTGCTTGACGTTTCCCGCTGGATGTTTCCTTTTTTGGTTGACTTTTAAATGGTTTTGAATGTGGATGTAAACTACTAATTCTAAACTGAATATTTCATTTCTGTAGTACAAGATTCCACTGGCTGGTGTTTCCCACCTCTCCACATCTCAGTTGGATAGCAAGTGTGACATGGGGTTTAAGTGAGTGTTGGTGGAGGTTCTCTGAGGATATCCAGCAGCTCTTAAATATTATGTTGGTCTATGGTAGAGAATAAGAGAAAGGGTCTCATAAGTTTATTAGGGCTCTAATATGGAGTAATATTCTAATTAGAATTCTGATAAGGTCATTCAGTCATTTTTTTTTAATTGTTTAAATTTTTTTTTGTTTAATTTTAATGGGGAAAATAAAGTAAGTCCTTGAATGGTTAGTACAGGTGAAAGAAAAACGTTATTACATTTAGAAGATCAGAAATAATCTTGCCGCAGGACTTACGGGAGTTTCTGGAATAAAATACACACCTGAGGCCTGGCAGGTAGAAGAGGAGCTGAGACCGGAGCACCAGGTCGTACAGCAGCCCAGCGCCAGTGCGGTGGAGCCTCCTCACGCTGGCTCCGTGGCGGCAGCGTGCCAGGGAGTGCGAAGCAGCTGGAGTCCTCAAGCAGTCTCCAGAGAAAAGTTGATTAAAGGGGCAGGAGGACAGGGGAGTTTGTCAGCAATGTGTTGCAGTCAGGGTGTTCTACGGATTATTGGTATTTTGGGCAGGAAGACATACTTTTGGAGTTCTGAGTTGTTCTAGAAGTGTTGTATCATCTGCTCGTTTCCAGATTGACATGTGTAAAATATGGATGTAATTGCATCGTGGATTTTTTTGCTTGCCTATTTTCAGGTGGTTTGGGTGTTCTTACAAAGTAGAAACAATTTTGATTTCCCAGGCTTTTTGAGATTTCTCTTTCTTAAAGAAATTCCAGCTTTCCTTTGAGAGTTTTTGGCTGAGCTAATGGTCTCATTTTTTTTCGCTCTGCCTTATCTCTGGTTTAACAAAGTTGTGGTTTTTTTTTTTTCCCTTGCTTTTACTCTTGCTCTTTCCTGGAAAAGAAGCAAAACATTGTGTGAGCTGCAGAGGGACATAATGCTTACTCTTATGACACTTTATGTATAACTTAGGGCATGTTATACATTATATCTGTCTTTTTTATAACTAGTTCATTTATATGAAAAATAAATGATGATAGCAAACTGACATGTAAAAGACAAACATGTAATGGTGATGAAAACCATTTAATGATTAGTAGGGAAACAAATATTTATTGAAAATAAAAACCATGTCTAAAGGCTCTAATGCTGACTTTTGGAAACACTACCATGTTGTGGTATTTGCAATACTGTATGTCCTGTACAGTAGATATTGTTTAAAATTGCTTGGGAACTGGAGCTTGCAATTGTGAGCTTGGAATGTCCTGCAGATAATTAAGTTGTGGTCAGGCTTTAGAAAAATAAAAAGTTCTCGAACTATGATTTTATAAACATGCTGCAATAACATTTCTTTATATTTAACAGTTTCTTATAGAAAGCTGATACTCTCACGAGGCATTGACTAAAGGTAAAACATCAAGAAAGAAAAAATATTAAATTAAAACTTCACTTAGGATGTTGACAGTTGGCTTGTAATATTAAACAGATGTGTGTGTTCCTGGGATATTCTTGTTTGAGAACCTTGTTGTATACCTGTTTTCAAGTGACAACTACAAATTTTTGATTAATTTAAAATTCTCCTTTCTTCAGTTGTCTTTGTTATATATTATTTTCTTCAGGTTGATTCAACTGGACAGTGTGATGCATACTGTACTTTCTGCTGTGACATTCAAAGGAAAGTGTTCCTTTATGTAGGCTTAAATTGAAGCATTGCTCATTCAACTATATAGAAAAATTATTACATATAAGCAAATATTCTTGGATGTGATATTACCTTTGCATGTGTAAGTAGGGCATTTATCGATTCTGGTTGTGATTATGGTTGAAATTGGCTCCTAGTAAATACTGCACATATGAGGCAATACCAAAATAAAGAAACTTCAGTTTTTAAAAGATGGAACATAGAGGGAATTATCCATTAAAGGAAAAGTGTATAGCATTGCTAAAATGACAAAATGTTGTGTCCAGTTCTGATGTGAAACTTTCTCAGAAATATGGTGGCGGTGGTAGGTTGTTTTGGGTTTTGTTTTTGTTTTATAGGAAGGAGCTAGAAAAATGATCTAAAGTCTGAAAAATTTACTTTGCGGTGAGAAACTTTTTCATTCTGTTGTTAGGGGACATGATCACAAGGAAAAAAGTCTCAGATTTGTTCCTGGATCTTATGAAAGAGCAAAAATAAGATACAGTGCTGAAAAAAGTACACACTATTTATAGTGTGATTTAACTGGTCCTTGATTTGGTAGATTCTGCATCACTTAAAATCTCCGAGTCAAGTGCATATATTCCAAAATACATGTGGTACTCAACAGGTAATGCAGGAGTTAATGCATAGGGATGGCTCAGGAATTCCTTTTTACATATGGGACACTGCTTTGTACCAAAGCAAAGAACTGGATACTGGTTTTCCAAATCCCAGGCTCCTGCTCCAGTGACCTGTGACTCTGATCAGTCTGACCTTAGACTGTGCGAGTGTATGAATGTTCTGTCTTCATTTTTAATAATAATGAACTTGCAGGAAACAACGTGTTAAAGTATTTCTAAAATAAAATAACCATATTAGACTTAACGGAATGCTTGATCTAGTTTTCTACCATAGAAGATACTCACTGCGAAGTAAGCAACCACTTTTTAATGGGTTTTGTGGGGAGTTTTTTACTGGTTTCTTCCTTACAAATTTCAGAGACAGTTAAATGATTTTTTTTTTTTTTTTTTTTTTTTTTTCCCAAGACTGAAGGAGTCATTAACCAATGTGAGGTATTATTTGGCTGAATAATACTACATTGCTGCAGTCTGCATACTGACTCAGTTTCATGTGTATGAGTTAGGTAGATACCTCCGTTCTCTGTTTTTTAAAGATTTGTGTGAAGACACATAATATGAGCAAGACTAGCTTATTGTAAGAATACTGTATTTCTCTTAGTGATATTGTTTCCAGTTCCTAAGATTTTTAGCTCACTGTGGAACCCGTTAAAGTATAGATGTGGAATACTTCTGAGAGCTCAGATACGATTTCTTATGTTTTTGAATATGATGTAAAGGAGTGTACAGCAAATACAGGCAAATACTTCTTAGAGATATTCAAAATGTAAAGGAGAAGAAAAAAGGAAAAAAAATCAAAGAGTTAATTAGTTGGTCTAAAA